GGCTCAGATTCATTCATTCATCACTATTTGTCATACTCCTTTGTGCCAGGCACTATTCTGAACACAGAGCATTTAGTGGAACTTAGAGGTTAATGGAAATGACAGATATACAAATAATCATACAGAAATGCACAGAAATTATAGGGTTCTTTAAAACAGTAACACAAGGGGAACAAATTTATGTTGAGGGGCAGGGAAGTGTTCATTGAGAAAGAGACATTTTTTCAAGTTGTAAAGAAGGATAAACATTAGCCAAGTGACTAGAAACCCTGATTTGATTTGAACTGGTAATAAAAACATGATGTGAGCTCTAGGTTTAGTCTGCACTACTTCCCCACTCCCACCAAATGAGGAAAATGTTTCTTAACTAAACTTGAAATTCAACGGCTCTTTTAATCCAAGGACCTTACTAGCTCTGAAGGTTAGAAAGAAACCTTGTGAAGTAATGAGGAAACATCCAAGAGAAACTTTTGAAGAGTTTTCAGTATATCTCATGCCTGTGTCTGCAGCAACTGGAGGCTCTTTTCTATCTTTTAGGATTTCCAAGCAAAGGAACAGAAATCATTATAAACATGAACTCTTCTTCCTCATTGAAATGAGCCAAGCATGCTGCAGTGAAAAAGTTAACCAGGTCTGACACTCAGCTTAAAGGATGCCAGAATGAAAGCTGTGATGGGTCTCAGACTAAACACTGTGAGATGTCTGTGTGCTAAGGGAAAAGAAAGAAAGGAAATTGCTTTACCTAGTATAAGCAGATCAGGATTTGGGAAAGCAGAAGGCTCATAAAATCATTGGGCAGACTGGAGAAAAAGATTCTAGGCTCGACTTCCAGGAGTGATGTCCAGAATAACCCATCCATCAGCCTTGTAAGAAGGCTGCTGTCCTGTCCCTGTGCTGGCTGCCTCCCGTGCTGCCAGCCACCCAATATGTGGCCAAACAGGCCCTGTTGTTTGGCCACAACAGGAAGTTACTGCTCCTGGCTCAATCAAGGTGCTGCTGCTGCCTCATCTATACCACACGGCCTCCACTGCACCTAAACCAAGAAAAGAGATGCCCCTACCTAGCCTGTTTGTCAGGTGGCTCATCTCTCAATCAAAGACTTGGCTGAATACAGGTCTGCACCCTAGCTGCAAGGGAGCCTGGGAAATGTAGTTGGCAAGGCATGAGTCACAGCACTTGGAATGATAAACGTGGAGATGGTGTTCTAATCCTTTCTGGAAGCCATTAATGACAGTTGTTCACTAAAAAAGAATGCTTGGAGAGATACAACAGTTATTATAGGGATAACAGAAATATTCTTAAGAATTAGGAATCCTCAGCCTTAGAAGATGAAAAATGAGAGGAAATGTGTGAAAGTATTTAAATAGTCACAAGAGATAGTGAAATGAACCCTATAATTAAAACAGTAGAACTGAGGTTTGAAGTTGATTAAAGTATAAGGACTTTATATCATGCAAAGCCACATTTTTACAGGTGTCAGCAAGGTTTGAATATATCATACTTTGATATTATATGTAAATGAATTCAGGAATGAGAAATAAAAACTAGTTTTTAAAGGTAATTGTATTACTGATAGAAAAAAACCCCTAGGTTTACCAAAAACTTTTGTCATGCCATACGGGTAATACTTATTCCTGTCATTTTTTTTTTTTTTGAGACGAAGTCTTGCTCTGTCCCTTGGGATGGAGTGCAATGGCCTGATCTCCACTCACTGCAACCTCCACCGCCCGGGTTCAAGCAATTCTCCTGCCTCTACCTCCCGAGTAGCTGGGATCACAGGTGTGTGCTACCACGCCAAGCTAATATTTTGTATTTTTAGTAGAGACAGGGTTTTGCCATGTTGACCAAACTGGTCTTGAACTCCTGACCTCAGGTAATCCACCTGCCTCGGCCTCCTAAAGTGCTGGAATTACAGACCTGAGCCACTGCAACTGGCCTCTTGTCTTTACTCTTTATCTAAGCCAGACAGGGCTGTTTAGTCAATATTTATATGAAATGATTCTTTCTTTGAAAACGGACAACAATGATAAGTGACTACAGTCAGAGAAAATAAGGTATATGAAATATTAATTAAAGAATTAAGAAATACATGGCTAAGCAATAAACTCTCTTCTAAATTCTAGACATACTTTCCTTTAATCCTTTTGAATAGTTCTTCCCCCCACCACCATCCACCTCGGGTAGTTTCCACGTGTGTGGGCAGATGAGCATTCTGCTGAATACTTTAGGGCATCCTTGGCAGATATCTAGGTCCTCTCTGTGCCCCTCTCTCCTCTCACATATTCTGTACTATGAACTTTAGCTGTATTAGTCTTCTCTGTCTCAGCTCTGTTGCCTCAAATCAGGGAACCTACCAGGTTCTGCCTCAGTTTCCCCTCTATGTGCTGTGGCCTAGAAACTGTCTCAAGGCAATAAGCTGGAGCTATATTAGGGCTCGCCTCATTTGTTTCCCATCTCTCAGGATCATGGGTATTTATTGGTTGTTGTACTGTGTTTTGGAAATTGTTGATGTATGTAATTTGTTTGGAGCTTTCTGAGTTGCTGTTATTTCAAGTGGAAGGGTAAATCTGGTTCCTGTTATTTCAGCTTGGCTGAAAACAGAAGTTTAGATAAAATGATTTTTAGTTATTACATCCATTAGGTAAATGTGCCCCCAATTTTTGAATCAACTCCTTTGTTAGATATTGGGGTATCTTTTCCTTCTCCACTCATTTAAATAAAGCTCTCACCAACATTTAAAAAACAAATCTTTGTATCTATTTGACAATTTTCTTAAGAAAGGAGGAATTTCTACAGGTGGAATTACTGGGTCAGAGTGTAAGGACTCTTTGATGTATATTGCCATATAATTTTCAGGGACTGTGAAGTAGTTTTCTGTACAATGGAAATGGACCCTGGGGCTAGTGGTTACCAGCAGTAGATCCAAGGGAGGAAATCATCTGGTGCTCTTGAGGTCTGTACTTGTCTCTATGTCTCAGTTTGCCAAGTCAGTGTATATTATGGGTCCTAATCTATAAGGGTCTTCCTCTACTTGTCTCTTGGACTCAACATTCTTTCACAGGCAGTGTTAAAGGAGGTTTTCTGCTTATCCTCCTATGCTTGACTTGAATCTGGCAGGATCTGCAGTAAATCTAGCAGAAAATTTCTGGCAGATTCAAGTTTTCCCACAGAGTTCCTTTGCACACGCAGCTTTACCAGCTCAAATCAGTTTTGACTTTAATTCCCAGTTGTGGGACCACCTCTTTTCCGATCTCAAAATTCGATTCTATATTACCGAATTGGTTTAGTATAAAGCCTTAGCATTCTTGCTGTCTTATAATATTGAACTTTAATGCTTTAGCTATGAGCTAAGAATGGACCTTTAAAACATGACTTTGTAAAGATACAAACCAGTACTATATTATCATATAGCTTACATTAAGTTTTTAAATAACCCACATAATGTATTAGTTAAAACACTTGTTCATAGTGCCTAGAATTGCAACTCCGCTCTATTAGCCATTGCAAGTACCCAGCCCACCTGAAAGGAAAATAAAAAAAATAAATAAATCAGAGAATGAAAATGTAATGTCATCATATTTCAGGGGAAATGATGGAGCTGAGAGTGAATAATCTGAGGTTGAAGAGAGTATTCCATACTTATTAGTACTTCAAAAGAAATGTTCACGTTGTAGTTAATTACAGTTGAAATCAAGTATAAAAGTTTATATATACAGTAACTTGACATCACTGGGTTCATCATTCCCTGGAATATTTTTTTCTCAATATACTAAAGAAAAATTTTCTTCTAAAAATCTTTAGTTTTATAATAAAATCACCTAGAAATCCAGATTTTTTTCTGAAAATTTTATCCCTTACTAGATATGGAGCATATCTATTTTATATACTTTGTACACAAAATGGTAATATCACTGATATTTCTGATTATAAAGATATTGCCAAATTAGAATGTAAAATTCAAATAAGATTCAAATTCAGATACAATGTTTGGCCAGTGGTGAAAATAGTGTTAGTTTAAGAAATTAGTAGAATAGAACATACATTCTGAGAAATAGACAGCTGAGAAAAATGTTGACCAATGACCAAATGAATAAAAACTTTTCTCGGAGAGAGGATGGATACTAGGGGACGGCTTGGCTCAGCAAGGTGAGAAATGCATGTTTCTGGGGGATGTTGGAAAGCAAGCTCTTTGAAGGTTCTAAAAACTGGGTTTAGGCCGGGCGCGGTGGCTCAAGCCTGTAATCCCAGCACTTTGGGAGGCCGAGGCGGGTGGATCACGAGGTCAAGAGATCGAGACCATCCTGGTCAACATGGTGAAACCCCGTCTCTACTAAAAATTACAAAAAATTAGCTGGGCACGGTGGCGCGTGCCTGTAATCCCAGCTACTCAGGAGGCTGAGGCAGGAGAATTGCCTGAACCCAGGGGGCGGAGGTTGCGGTGAGCCGAGATTGCGCCATTGCACTCCAGCCTGGGTAACAAGAGTGAAACTCCGTCTCAAAAAAAAAAAACCAAAAAAAACCCAAAAAAAACAAAAAACAAAAACTGGGTTTAGAGACAGGAGAATATTTAGTTAAGCTGAGGGACGGGAAGGTTGCAAAGCCAGAATAATAAGGACAACCAGGTACGTGGGTAGTAATTTCGTGCTGACTGAATTGCATAGCAGTTTGGATAAGTATGGGATAGAAAACTGTTGTCTTGGAGTGTATTAGGATAATATTTCTTGTTCATTTAATTTCACATATAAATATAATTCCTTGATAATGTTAATTTTTGTTTGTTTAAAAATTTTCGCTTTTTAAAAGGCATTCATTTTCATGATCTAATTCAGATTAGATCATGATTTCTTTTGATAAGAGTAGAGTGTATATTATTATCCTGATTTTCCAGGTTATAAACTGAAGCTGAAAGTGGAGATGTGCCTTCAGAGTTATGCTACCCGGCTAGCTGCAAAACTGGGATTAAGACTCCAGTGTTTTTTCCTACTAAATTGTGCAAGGAGTCATTTTAACAGAAGTCTGAAATAACTATTATATTCACTTATTCTTCCAAAAACCACTTGTTGGCCTCCTTCTAGATATCAGGACTGGGCAGTTTGCAAAAGAAACATCAGGGATCAAGAAACACAAGTGATGTCCTCACAGACTTTACATTCTTGGTGAGGTGAGAAAATCAAGTAACTAAAAAAAGAAGCTATATATAAGGACATAGAAAGAAAGTTAGCAAGGCTAAGTCACTTCTGATTAAAAAGAGGAAATTTAATTCCACACAATTTTTTTTTCTTCAGTTTCTACTATTGTTAAATACCTGCTAATCCCTTTGTGGATACAAAAATGGACAAAACACAGCCCTTGACGTCAAGAAACTCTCATTATCAGAGCAGAGGACAAAGCAGGGTAGATCACTGAGAATCTTCCTGGCTCTAGAAACTGTTAAGCAATAGGGACACTGTAATGACTAAGACATGGTTCCTGCCCTCATAGAGTTTGTGGTCTATTAATTTTACCAGCTGCCTGACTGACGGAAATGAGGTTTGAAGTCAGAAACGTCAGACCAGACTGAGTTTCTCTGAAGAGGGTTCTAATGGTTTCCACACCAGCTGGGAGCTGGTGCCTGGTCAGTGCTATCTAAGCACCTACTGAGGTGCTGAAGGACAGATACAGGAGAAGGAAAACTGACCAAGGCAGTGGTTTCTACTAGTTCATTCATTTGACTACGGGAGGACATTGACTTCTACCAGAAACAATTTGAATTGCTAGGTTTGGCACCTGAGATTCTTTCTGTGACCATAGTGTCCACACAGTAAACTCTGGGGATGCTGAGAAAACTGAGACAAATAAGTCTGCCTCTGTGAATAATCTTGCTAACTATATGAGGAAACTTTTATCCGTGTTTATGTTTTCTTGATTTTTACTTGTGCATTTCTTCGACGGAAAAATGTCTTGGCTTTCAGGAAAGACCAATGAACTCTCAGAGGAACAAGACTTCTTATTCTATTTCATAAGAACAGTTTATTTTGTTTTCCCTCTCTGTTAGGGCCAGCATCTTTTGTATCTTCTCTCTGTCTCACCCTGTAATTCCACTTGGACCCTCCAATCCCAGCACTCTTTCTTTCAGGAAAGGAACACAGGTGTGTCCAGTATTTCTTAAAAGCAGGAAGCTAGGAACATGTATCATCAATAGAGAAGCTGCAGTCAGTAGTCACTGGGACAGCTATCTAGGCCAGGATCTAGGGCTTTCGAAGGGGATGAAGCACTACTGAGAGCAGACGGGCAGGGTTGTGTCTTCTGACTTCATGTCCTCTCTGTTCACAAGGAGAAAAGGCATGTCTTAGCTTAGATTCCCTTAAGCTGAGTCTGAGATAAAGGTTTGCATGCAGGGCATTTTTGGGAAATGATCTCAGGGAGCAAGAGTGAGGGATCAAGGGAGTAGATTTGGGTAGTGGAGAAAGCCGAAGGAATGGTGCATGATTCTGACATGACCTTCTGAAGACTCTTTTAGAATATGCCTCAGACTTTTCCTCTGCAGGACATGGGGGAGGGCTGGTACCATTTACTCATTTATTTCTCCCATTGTTCAAAAGTGAGCCCATTCTCCTTTTTCTTTCTTCTTCTTCCTCTCCCTTTTTTTCTCTCTACTATTTTTCTTTGGGAAATGAGATCCAAAATGCAAGAAAGCCGACTTGGAAGAGTGGTGCTAAAATGTCTAGGATCACATTTATGCATATAGAGCAGTCAGTTCACATAGGGAAACGAATGGTCAAGGGAAAGGGAATCTTTAGGGGCAAAAAAAGAAAGAAATTAAGGTTCTTGAAGCATTTGAGAGAAATTATTAATAAATGTTTTTACTACTCTGTTGAAGAACTTAGAAAAAATTGGACACTGACATAGAATAAATGAAAAAAATGTAATTATTAACTAAGAAAATACATTGTATCAGAAAAAAATATGTAAATTCATAGTTGTCATTTTGGCTGGATGGTGGCTTTGGTCATAATCATATATGCACTGTCTACTGAACCCAGCTTATGATACACATAAAACTACGTTGGGAAGGTGAGAGTAGTGGCATGCTGCCATGGAAGGAAGTCGATAGATAATGGTCAATAATGATACATCAAGAGTGTATACATATTATTTAGAAATTGCTAGAATGGATTTGAATTGGAAGGTGGGGGTAGAGCATGGTATTTCTGTTTTCTTCATGGGCTAAGGAAAGAACTGAACTTCATAATACTATTGGCTTTTTAGATATGTGCAGGTAGTATTTCGATTTAAAAATTCTTTGATTTAAAAAAATAATGTAGCTATAATTTAATATATATGATTAATGTTGAGTAATAAGAATTATAATAATAAAACTTACTTTGATATAAGAATTCCACTGGGGAATCCCAGCACTTTGGGAGGCCGAGGCGGGCGGATCACAAGGTCAGGAGATCGAGATCATCCTGGCCAACATGGTGAAACCCCGTCTCTACTAAAAATACAAAAATTAGCTGGGCATGGTGGCGCGTGCCTGTAATCCCAGCTACTCAGGAGGCTGAGGCAGGAGAATTGCCTGAACCCAGGAGGCGGAGGTTGCAGTGAGCCGAGATTGCGCCACTGCACTCCAGCCTGGCGCCTGGCTACAGAGCAAGACTCTGTCTCAGAAAAAAAAAATTCCACTGGGGTTGGAAATAATAACATTAAGAATCCTTGGGGGATATAGAGAACCATTGATGTAGATACACTGGGTTCGATGTTTTTCTTCATGAATTTCCACAACTGCAAGTTTCCATTAGAGATCTCCACATGAAAACTTAGAACCTGTGCTTTTTTCCAAATAAGTCACTGAGCTTCCCCAGAAGCACCTCTTACCAGTCTTTCATTTCCACTCCAGGAACCAAACCATAGAGTCATCCTTCTATCATGTTTTCTGCAGCTAGTCTCTGTTTTTCCTAACAGTATTAAAAAGGCCAAGTGCTGGGCATAGGAAAGAATCTGAAAACTAAAATTATTGTAAGGTGCTTATTATTTATACTCCACATACTTCTTCAACAATTTGTGGTATTAACCCATAGTGAGTATTAGCAAACTCACAGCACATCTAAAATTAATATTAATAATTGATATCCTTTATGTAACACTACGTTCCAAGAAATGTGTCAAGCACTTTGTGTATATTACCTCACATAATCCACACAACTGGGGTTACGTACTATGTTTAACACTGTTTCCTTTTTATAGGAGAGAAAACTGAGGCACAGAGAAGTAAGTTGGTCAAGATCATTCAGTTAATAAGTAGCAGAATTGGGGTTTTTATACCCTGTATATTTTACTTCCAAGGTAAAAATCACATATTTTCTGGTTAACATACTTGGTGATGATGTTGTAGAGAAGAGAGATGGTCTGGAAAGGGAGAATATGTATTTTAAAAACTTAAAACTTTCTACATCATCTGTCTGAGGATAGAGACAGACAAGTGTGAAAGACAGGAGTGAGAAATGATGCCTCAACTTTAGAGTTTATGTATGGGCTCCAGGTGCCTGGGGAGCACTGTGTCCCACAGCGCAGATGTAGATGGCAGAGTCTCTGGGCTGGGAGGCTGTGATGTGCAGCGAGCTGTGTTTTTCCTGTAGGTTTATTGTGGCAGTTAATCTTCCATGCTTCTTATTCTCTGAGCTCAGCTTAAACAAGGAAACAATGCCTCCTCCTGGATGCTGTTGCAGCCACTGTAAGGTGGTTATTCCTATCGAGTAGCTGCAGTTGATTGTGACAAATTCTCCTTCCTGGACAGTCAGGTCCTGAGGACTCTGCTGCACTTCATTTTTGGCAGCAGTTACACCTGTTCTCAAAGACATAATCAGATACAGAATAGTACAATTATTGCAACATTTATACATCTTTCTTTACACATTTTCAGGAGGGCACTCCAGATTAGCCACTTGGAATCCCTTCTCTCCCCTCCCCAGAATTTTGAAAAGGATCTCATGTCCTGAAACTCCCCAACTTACAGCTTAGCCGAAGCCACAAAATAGCTGACAAAAAATGCCAGTTCTTCACCATTATTACCGCAGTAGAAGCTCACACAGGTCTCTGTTGGAGGATTTTGGAATATATGTTAGTTGGACAAAGGAGTCTTTTATTATTAAAACATCTCTACATTTACATTAGAAATCAAAGGGGATTCCCCATCAGATGCAGCAGAAATGCACATTTAAGAACTATTTACAGTTTTACCTGCAAAGTGAACCATCCACGATCTTTTAAATGTAACACTCACATTGCCACCTAGTGGCAAGATGCACAGACATTTATTACGCGGCTCAAATACTTGGGCCCAGGAGTTTGAGGATACAGTGAGCTATGATCATGTTACTCCACTCCAGCCTGGAGCAAGACCCTGTCTCTAAAACAAACGAACAAACAGCCCCTCCCACCCACAATACAGATCGAGAACCAAACTTAGCCTCCTCCTACTAGGAGTCCTGGGAGTAAGGTGGGATAATGTGGGGGAATAGAAGTCTGGTGATTCTTTGACTTCAGCCAGCGATGATAGATCAAGTAAAGTAGCTGCATTTCACACTGTGTCTTTTGAACAGATCTGTTCTTTTTTGTAAAGGTGTCCTTATAGATATTTCTGGTTTCTTTATATGACATCCCTGTTTCTTTCTGCACATGGTATTATTTCAGGCGACTTTATTAGTTTTATCTTTTTTTTTTTTGACCTGCTACAGTTTGTTCATGTCTCTTAAAATGTGATTCAAATATTGTTGCCCTGTCAGAGTGTTACTGTGGTCATCTGGTTTCCACTCATTTGTTATCTATGATAGTTTCAGTGGTTTTATCACATTAGTGAATTATTTTGAGCTTGTAGTCCTTTTTCACTTCTGGGATTCCTTTCTAAAGAGATGCCATAGAGGTCATGGTTGTTCCAAGTGCCCTCCTTTTCCAGGCAATAGCGCTTGGATCTGGGTAGATATTAGGCTCATTAATTTGAACTAGAGGTACAGAAACAGCAGTTAGACAGTGTAACCAAAGCTTTAAAGCCCTGTGGGCTTCAAACCAGACTCATCTCTTAGCAAACAGAGCTGGGTATGTTCCAACTGAAGTTATTGTGGAGTAGAGTATGACAGGATTACAGTGGAATCTGGTTTCCCAGGAGGAGAACAGATTATACATTCAGAGAAAAGTATATTCAGAAAGCATAGCCAATTGGTGATTTTCTTCTTTCTGTGAGCCCTAGCTGTATTTTTCACAAACTGATTTTATGAGACTTTATAATATCCTTCCAGAAAATCTTTTCCTTGTGTTACTTTGAGTGGGTTACACAACAAATACTAAAAATTCAGGATCCCTTATTCCAGATATTGTAACTCATTTTTATAAAACTACTAGATAAACATATATTTACCTCCATTAAATTCTATTTTGGCAGGTTTAGTCTATCTTTCCAATTTGTTCAGATGATTTTCAATTTTTAATTTATGATACAAATAATCATATTAGTGGGACATCATCATATACCGATCTCAAATTTTGATATTTGCACAATTAATTCTCACATACCTTGTGAGAATCTACACAAGATCAATGTGAACAGGTCAAGGTGAAGGATAAAATCATGAGGTTTAACAAAAGGGCCATTTTTCTAAATTGTATCTTTATATATGGTTGTTCTCTCAGCTGAGGATTCACCAAGTCCAGCATTATACAAATGACAAAGTGAATAGACGATATGGTCTGGATCCAAATGAACTTAAGTTTGAGCCTTAGTCTTACTACTTACTAGATTCTACTGGAATTTTCTACACAATACTCCAATCTTGTGTAGTTTTCTGGTGGCTTGTAATTTTATGGTGAAGATTACAGATAACATTAGGAGTTAACAAAGTATAGAATTTAAAAATGTAGGCTTTGGACTAGTCAGCCTGTATTTGTATGCCAGGTCTTCTCTTACTATCTCTGTGTTCTTGGGCAAGGTAGTTAAATCCTCTGTGTTATGAAAGGATTGCATCTACTTCATGAGGTTGTAGTGAAGATAAATTGAATTAATGCATGCAACCTCTTAGAACAACACGTCATGCATATTAAGCCCTTGATAAACATCGGCTCTTATTACATATAAAGTACAGTAGGGTCTGTGATAAACATGACACTCAACAAATAATAATTATATATATTTTCCCACTGATATAGTGAAAAACAGATTATTAAATGTCTTGCAAATATCTGACACATTTAAAGTACATGGAAGTCCTTTGAATTTAGCAGGCTTGTTTTATAAATGTCTTTAGTGAGCCCATTCTGGCTTATCCTGATCACTGCATTATTTTCTAAGAGCCCACACATTATCTGTTAATAATCTGCTCTAGAATGTTGCTGGGTATCATTCCCCTATTTCTGTGTTCACAGGTTGGGGATTTCCTTCATTCTCCATAGGTTTTCAAAAAATTTGCCCAATGCCTTGCCAACCATTTCTGCATGTTGAGAATTAGTTTCAATGACCCAGAAGACTTGATCATTTTGAAAGCATCTAAGTCCTCTCTTAGTATCTCTTTATCTGTCATAATTTTTCATTTATTTATTTCCAGTTTGAAAATTATTCTTTTTTTCAAAAAAATGGAGTGTTGCTCTTGTCGTCGCCCAGGCTGGAGTGCCATGGTGAGACCTCAGCTCACTGCAACCTCTGCCTCTGGGGTTCAAGTTATTTTCCTGCCTCAGCTTCCAGAGTAGCCAGGATTATAGATGTCCACTGCCACCTCCAGATAATTTTTGTATTTTTAGTAGAGATGAGTTTTTTGCCATGTTGGCCAGGCTGGTCTTGAACTTCTGACCTCAGGTGGTCCACCTTCCTCAGCTTCCCAAAGTGCTGGGATTGCAGGCATGAGCCACCATGCCTGGCCTCAAATTATTCTATTTGATGAAGAATAGGGGATGAAACCAGAAGTCTAGGTGCTCTACCTCTTCTCTGTTTTCTGACAACATTATATTTTCCTTGATATGCAAATTAACCTTCCTCCCCATGCCACCCTCTTAATTTCTCCAAACTTGCTTTTTATGTTCTACTTCATATTTTCTTTAAGCTTTAATTTTATTCATTAAAAAGTTTCCACTGTTTAATGATTTCTTTAAAGGCTCATGCCGTCTTTGCTATTCTCCTTTGTCTTTGTGTCAGTCAGCATTTTTATTATTTTTAGTTAAAGTCTGAGTTAATATGCCTTCCCGTTCTGCTACAGGTTTTATCAGATGGCTCCATATTTCATATACGTATTAGAATTGTTTGCAATGGAACAGTAAGAATTTAAGTTTTTTAGAGTTTCTTGTCCCATTAATAATCACATTTAGATGTTTTGGTTGTCTTCTTTTTTATTGAGGTAAAAGTCACAAACATAAAACTCATACTTTTAATCACTTTAGAGTGTATAATCGGGTAGCTTTTAGCACATTCGCAATGTTATGCAACCATCACCACTATCTAATTCAGCACATCTCCCCCCAAAGAAACCTCCCACATCAGTTAGTAGTCTCTCTCCACTCCCCACTTCTTCCAGCTTCTGGCAGCCACCTACCTGCCTTCTGATTTTCAATTTGCCTATTCTGGGAATTTCATATACATGAAATATACAATATGGGCATTTTGTATCTAGCCTTTTCCACCTAGCATAATGTTTTCAAGGTTTGTGATGTTGTAGAAGGGGTCAGTACTTTATTCCTTTTTATGGCTGAATAATATTACATTGTCTAAAGATATCGCATCTGTTTTATCCATTTGGATTACTTACACTTTTGCTACCATAAACAATGCTGTTATGAACATTCATGCATGGGGTTTTGTGTGGACATATGTATTGTGGGTAGATACATAGGGCTGGAATTGCTAAATCATATGGTAATTCTATGTTTTACATTTTGAGGCACTGCCAAACTGTTTGCTAAAGTGACAGCATCATTTTACATCCCCACCAGCAATGTATGAGGGTTCTAATTTCTCATATCCTTGATAAGACTTGTTATTGTCCTTTTAAAAAAGTCATAGCCTTTTACTCAGTATGAAATGGTGTCTTGTGATTTTAATTTACATTTGTCTAATGACTAATAATGATGATTTTTTCATATGCCTATTAGCCATTTTGTATCTTTGTTGAAGAAATGTCTATTTAAATCTTTTACTCACTCCTTGAGTTATATTTCTTTTTATTATTGAGTTGTAAAAGCGCCTTATATATTCTAAATACAAGTCCCTTATCATCAGGTACATAGTACATATGATTTGCAAATGTTTTCTCCCATTCTGTGGGTTATCGTTTCATTTTTTGATAGTGTCCTTTGAAGCATAAATAAGTTTAGTTTTGTTGAAGTCCAGCATCAATGTTCTATTTTATTGCTTGTGCTTTTGATGTCACATCTAAAAAATCATTGCTTAACCCCACATTATGAGAATTTACTCCTGTGTTTTCTTCTTAGATTTTTACAATTTTAGTTTTTACATTTAGGTCTGTGACTCACTTTGAGTTAATTTTTGTGTGTGGTGTGAGTAGGAGCTTGTGAGAGAAAGGCCAATATGTTGATTGTAATGACCCGGGGCTGGGTGTGGGGTGGGGTGTGACAACAGCAGTGGGCATGTCAAGCCCTGTTAGGTTGGTCAGCACTAGGCAGTGGGATTGCCGTGAGAGAGTAGAATTGATATGGTGGGACTTGCGAGTTCCAGTAATGATTTGAGTCCTAATCTGCCTCTTCTAACCTAAATTTTTTTTTCACAGTATCTTCATGTTAAATTTGTGCGATTATTTTTATTTCTACTTCACAGATGAAAAAAATGAAAGCTCTGAGATATCAATTAACTTGGCCAAATTTGCATAGCTAATAAGTAGTAGAGCCAGGACTGACATCCAAGTCATCATATTATGCAAGAAAGCCTGAAGGACAAGAGAGAACTGACCTAATTGAGAGCAGAGATATTATCCGAGACCCTCTTCTCTGACCCCATTTTCTGTCAAGGAAACTCCTGTGCCCCTGGAATTAGAGGCAGTTATATCTCATTTTGTTTTTCTTTGTCTGCTAAT